CCCAATGTTCATACTATCCATCCTAAATAGTATGTGAGATTAAAATAAGTGTGTCCCAAAGCATAGTATGTTGAAAGGTGTATGCCAGAAGTCCCCGGATAGTCTACTATTTCAGGTCAATTTTTGAAGTGTGGATCCGTGCACACTCTAATGGCTAATATTACCCACAATCCATTGCACTTCGGCGAAGGATTCGGTTCAGAACTACAAACATGAATAAAAAGTTCAATGAAAAGTTTTTTCAAATAAAAAATAATAAAAAGTGCTAAAAACTACAGATGTGCGCGACCGACGGTTAAGTAGAGAGGTTTAGATAAAGGGGTTTGAGTTACTAATAATCAACATTTAACCTGGTGAAATATTTATTTGATGTTATCCGTGTTATTTGTCATTGTAGAGGATGTTAACTGTGACAAGATGACTGACAGGTCAGTTTACGGTGACAGGGTGCGTGTAACTATGCGACAGAGCACATTAAAGCATGTCAACATATTCTGTTACACCAAATACACAAAATAATTATCTTTAAAAAAGCATCATATGACCCCTTTAAGCAATTGTATGACGTGAAAGTATGTCCCAAAGCTTGCCTCTACTCTTCTACTACACACTCAAAAGTGTGTACTTATTCTTCACCAAAAGAGTACATACTTTAAGGGCGTAGTATAAGTAGGCACATTGGGACCGATTGGGACGCAGCCAGACCACTGATTCGTCAAACCTGCTTTCTTGCAGTCACGTGCTTCGGGGAAACGTAAAAGTATACATTTTAATTATGAAACGTAGTGGAGTAAAAGTGAAAGTTGACAGAAATAAAAAAAACTCAAGTAAACTACAGATTCTTCCCAAAAAAACGTAAATACTGTAACGAAGTATTATTATTAGGTAGTTACATTACTGCACTGGGATCATCCAATTTCGCCCTCTGTCAGTTGCAGTTCCATCATTGGACGCACGGTGTCAGTGCGCCGCAGGTTTTAATAAGGCCTTCGATCAGCTGTTTGGCGCTTCACACGCTCGTATTTGTGAACCGACTGCGGCGTCAACATTTGAGCTAATTCAGGTGTGTTTGTTTTCCCAACCTTGGCGTCTCAGTATTTGCTTGTCACTTATAAATATTATCTAAAGATAACAGACACACCACATGAAACTGAAGGTGGCCGTTATTTTCATCTTGAAAGTGGCACAAACGTTTTACGTCTGTCAGTTTGTGTAAACTTTATGTTTGATTCGCCATTAGTCGGATTTTGACAGGTTGGTTTGCTTTTTTACTTGTATGTTTTTTGATAGTTTTGGTTGTGTATATATATATGAGATGAGACTTTGAGAATATTTTAAAATAAAGGTGTGAGTTTTTCTACTTATTTTTTTTTCACGTCATCCATATAATTAAGCAAATAATGCAGTGACCGTTTAAACATGTAATGGGCTTTTATATTGTATAGCATGTTATCTGTTTTCTATAATTTCATTAACAAGCACAATGCGATTGTGTAAAGCATATCAACTGTATCTAAACTATATATTAATTATACTATGCGATATAATGAAAATATATAATATATTATTATATATATAATATATACATACACTGCCGTTCAAACGTTTGGGATCAGTAAGATTTGTAATGTTTTTTGTTTTTAATTTTTCTATTTTAAATAAATGCTGTTCTTTTTAACTATTCATCAAATAATCCTGAAAAAAGTATCACAGTTTCCAAAAAAATATTAAGCAGCACAACGGTTTCCAACATTGATAATAAATAATCATATTAGAATGATTTCTGAAGCATCGTGACACTGAAGACTTGAGTAATGATGATGAAAAATCAGCTTTACATAACAGAAATAAATTATATTTTAAAGTAGAATAGAAAACCATTATTTTAAATATTAATGATATTTTACAATATTACTGTTTTTCTGTATTTTTGGTCAAATAAATGCAGCATGATGAACAGAAGAGACTTCTTTAAAACTCATTAAAAATCTTGCTGATCCCAAACTTTTGAACAGCAGTGTATAACAGTTTTTTTTTTTCTTCAATCTTTTTGAGATCATATGACCTGCCAAAAACTATTCACTCCGTCTTAGACTTTAAACGAATTAACTCATATCTCTCCTGTAGATCGAGGCTTTCCCTCTTTGTTCGCTCCAACATGGATGTCGGAGTGACCCCGAGACGGCACAACCCAGTGGACAGCATCTGCCGCAAGCTGCAGACCATCCAGCGGCGAGATCAAGAGGTTAACTCGCTCTTTCAGATCCCAAAATTCCAGTCCAGCAGCTACGACAGCCCTCACTCGGGTCTGCACATCAACCTGGAGGCCATCCTGAAGAAGCGTACCGTCCGAACTGACGGAGGCTCTGACCGCAATTCCTCTGAGAGCATGTTGACCCCCACAGCTTCCCCGGGACCGGGGTCTGTCCCCAACACCCCTCGTGCTCCAATCACACCTGGCAATGCCACCTATACCATCACCAGCATGCTGGGCACGTTAGGGGAGAGGAGAAATACAACAACGTACAGTCGGCCGTTTCAGCATAACTGCTCCACCCCAGCAGCCCAGACTGGGGACAATTATTTTAACTTTACCCCACGCTACTCCACACAAAACCTGCTGGAGGGGCCTGACACAGAGGTGAAGACCTCAAAGATCCCAGCTCCTGGCTTGTTTTCGTATAACCTGAACTTCTCCTCAGATATTTCTAACATGGACACTGAACTCGCCTACCCGGCCCTCGTGGTCAAGAGACTTTCACTGGGCGAGGGTAATGAATCACCTTTTTAGTTTTCTTTTTTTAACATTATACAGGAGCATCTCAATAAATTAGAATGTCGTGGAAAAGTTTGTGCACTGAATTTATTTAATACACGAGTTTCACAATTTGAGTTGAATTACTGAAATAAATGAACTTTTCCACGACATTTTAATTTATTGAGATGCACCTGTAAATGTTTTGTTAATACTAGTGACTGTTTTTGTTTTTCTTGTGTTTTGAACAGGATCTCTGTTTCCCTCCGAGCCCAAGAAGGAGAGCATGGCTGAGGTCAGTCTGATTTATGAGGAAGACCTGTTGGACACTATTTTTCAGGCCTGTGACACACAGTGCAGAGGTACATATGTCACTCCCTCTTTGCTTTTATGTTGTTTATTTTTCAGTCATATTGTGCATTTTAACAAACGTCTAACCCTACATGTAAACTTGCTTATATCTTGGTTATCACTCTGTACCATTTGTGCTATAGATATGAATAAAAGTGTGGTTACATTTATTATTAGGTTAATTTCACAGCGAAATCGAGTAATTTCAACAGGAATTTGCGTGATTGTGAATTTTGAGGATGAGAGATTTTCCTATGCAGATTTTGCACTGGGTTCAAGTTGGTCACACAAATATGAAGCAGAAAAAGCTGCTTGGTTTGTTAGTGACTTCTGTGTGAGCTGTGCTTTATACATCGCTACGCTATTGACAAAAGACAGTGGAAAAATGTGATGAACACCTGCCGGATGGAAAAGACGGCCACATCTAAGGACCAGAATATTGTAGAGACTTGGGTCTTTTGGAAAGTTATTTTGGGGAAAAACTTTTTTTTTTTTTAAGATAATAGCTAAGCTTATTCTTAAGATGTTTTCTGGTGTTTCTCAGCAAATTTAATTTACATATTAAGTGAAATCAATAAAAACGTAAAATCATTTTTGAGTCAAATTGTTTTGATTTTTTTTTATTAAATTAAGGTTTACGAAGACAGGCCATTTTTTCTTTATAGAATAACATATTCTAATATAGCATTGTTAGTCACATTTACCTTTGTTCTGCAAATTTTTATAGGCAAAATCTGGTAATTTCAATTGGAATCCACACAATACGTGAGGACTAAGGATTTACTTATGCAGATTTTGCAACCGTTTCAAGTTGACCAACAGAAAGTTGACCAAAGTAGGTCATGCTGAGTTGACCAACAGAAAGCTTGGTTTGAAAGTGCCTTCAATGTGAGCTGTGTTTCATATATTGCTATACTATTGACAATGGATCTTTTCAGCCCACTAATGTGACATTTGTGCAGTTTTGCAAAACAATTGGTTTTTGATACCTTGTAGATTTGAACTGCTCCTTTCCCCCTCAAATTCACAGGTGTTATTCCTCAGGCGGTTGGGAAGCGGACTAATATTACAATACTTGTGTTTTTGTTTGGTTTCACTAAAGTAACCTCTAAGAGCATCTGAACACATTGACTCATTCAGACCAGCAGCAGAGATGCTTCCCCGCATTCAAACCTAGAGGCTAACAGGAGACAAAAGCTGCTTTCTTTTACAGCCATTCTTCTTGTATAAAAGCAACGGCAATTTAGAAGAATGCAAAATGTTTTTTTTTTTTCAAGCATGTTGGCTGCAATATAACAAAGAGTGAAAAATTGAAGGGGGTCTGAATACTTTCCGTACCCACTGTATATACACACACACTGCCTCGATATGCTCAGACACATGGTTATGGTGACTCAGAGCAAGTAGGTGTTACTTTGCAAACTTTCTGATAGAGTTTCTAGGTGGGATGGCATCTGACAAGACCCAGGTTCTCTGTGACTAGCCACTGTAACCATAGTAACGCAGAGCCCTCTGTTGCAGGTAAAGTTTATGTATCGGACATTGTGGACTTCTTGAGACACACCACTTGCCGCAGTTCAGAGGACAGCGGCCTAGAGGAGCTCTGCAATATGCTGGACCCAGAGCACAAGGACATCTCCATAGACCTGGACACGTACCATGCCATCATGAAGGAGTGGATCGATGATTGCCGCAACCAGGGGTATGAAGACATGCATATACAGCACATACCCCATGCTTTACAACAGTGATTGCCATTGATTTACTTTAATAAAGGCCTTTTTAGTTTGGGCAATATTGCACAGGACAAAAAAAAAACTGAAGACATCTGCTGGCTGTTTAACTCCTGATCATTTTGCTAAAGGCTATGGTCAATTAATAGGAAGCAGTTGTTTTTGCAATCAATTCTGTACTGTATGTCTTTTGTAGATGTTGCCAACCCAACCAAAGACACATTGCAGATTTTCATCAGTCTGCTATCAATCCACAATCAGTTCTGATCACAAGGCCTTTCTTTCCAACACTTTCCTCATGACAAGTTTTTTTAGATAAAATCTCAAAGTCCATCTCAAATTTCCCCTTTTCCCTTAGGAAGGACTCAAAGAATGAAACCCAACAGGAATCATTCAAACTACGGGACAGTTTATCGGGTGAGATGATTTTTGGAGTATGTCAGATTGCTCGAAAGCTCGTTGTTTTTCATATGTTGCATATATTTTCTTTGTTGTTAATGTTGTTATAATTTTGTATCAATCCCTTGTTTCCTTTAGCAAGAAGATCCGCTCTACTAAATATGACCTCAGGTAGTCTTGAAGCATTCGGAGGGGAAGCCTCCAGAGCTGACCTGTAAGTTCAGGAGTGTGAGTTGTTTGTTTGTGATAGATAAAGAGTTAACAGTAGTGCACATGTGGTTTATGAGACTGTATTAACTGTATCTATCTATCAAAACTTTGGACACCGTTGACTCAATTAGTTTCTTATGATCTTTAAAAACCTTTTGATCTAATGGTTTATGCTTGGATGCTTTTGAAAAATTAATAATTTGTGCCATTGTATGACTTTTTACACAACTAAAAATAAAACAAAATATAAAAATATTTACACAAAAAAGTTGCAATTAATATATTACTGCAAAATATATATTATATGCAATATATAAATTTTTGATCACTACATAATTTCCATTCCAGACATTTGAGATGCATTTTGATCAGTTATTTGTGTATGTGTCTGTACAGGAAGACATCAGATCTGGTCTTCTGTGTGGCAGATCTGCAGCTAAATAACCAAAAGCTGCAGGAGGAAGTTCGTAAACTGAAGCAGGCAGTGGAAAACATGGAAGACACCAACCAGAAACTCATCGAGGAAAATGAAGAGCTCAAAGCACAAGCTAAAATGTACAGACTTATTACTTTCTGTCTGACCTGTCGTCTTCCTTAACCTCTGAAGCCTTAAATCCCTTAATCATCATTAATTCTCTCGTGCATAACATGCCTTAAGACTCTCCTCTCGTCACTCCCTTCCCTCATTCTGCAGGGGGCAGCAGTTATTACAGAAGGAGAAGATGCTTAAAGAGGAAGTTGAGGAGATGAAGCTAAGCCTGACCTCTTCAGAAGAGAGTCGAGCTCAGGCCTCAGCTCAAAGAAAGCAGATGGTGAGGCACAAACTTCATTGATGGCTGTTCCGATGTTAATAAGCCATATTATGAGACTCCTAGGTCTCATAAACTAATGCAAACATAATGTGCAGTATGTTCGTAATGAGATGGATAGTAATATTATATAAACCAAGGATATGCAAACATCCAGAGTAAACAAATCTGGATGTGTAATAGGCTGGACTGTATATGCAGTATAAAATGCTGGAGATTACTATGTGTGAAATACTGTATACTGTAACTCATGTGATGCTGTTAGTGTATATAAGTTAATGTAATAGGTCTTCAGTTTAAATAATTATTAATTATACAAATGTTGGAAAATACTTTCAAATGTTATATTTTGAAATAACTAAGGTGTTTAGAAATATTTATAGTATGTTATGGAGTGAAATGTTATTATGTTTAAAGTGGGCGTATCTGATTGGCCACGCGTGTGCACGCGCGCGCGTACGTGTATTCCCAGGGAGTTCTCGTGATGCGCTTCATTCTGAGAAAAGCTGTGAAAGTGAAGCATCGCATCGTGTGTATTTACTGTGTTAATATTCTCCCTGACAGGGGTACTACAGATGCTGGATAAACACCATCACACTGGTGTTTATTGACCACATATTGACGTTGACATGTATATTATTAGAACAAATATGAACACTTTTATAACCTTTCGCACTGGTTTCCTACAGGAACGGGAAAACCAGAGTCTTGTATCCAAAATTGCTGCACTACAAGAGGAGGTATGGCTCTACCCATTTTCAGATCCATCCACCTAAGTGTCAGACTTGTAGTTTACTGAATGGTTCTCATTCATTACTTTTTTCCATTTTCTTTATCCTCCTTCCTCCACATTTCTCCTTCATCATATATTAAGAACATGAAAGTCACACTGGAGGCAGAAGAGCTTCAGAAAAAGATCAGTGACCACCGTGACCTTAATGCTGACCTTCAGGTAGGCCTTAATTTAATTTACTCACTCATGATTTGTCTTGAATGCAAAAAAAGAAAAAAAAAGAATAATTTAGCCCTGTCATTGGTGAATGTTTTCTTGCACACTCAGGTCCAAGTTCATTCATTTGATGCCATTCTGGCTGACAAGGAGTCGATAATTCAGGAGGTAAGTGCATCTTGCATATCACCAAGACAATGATTTGATATGAAAACTTGAATGGACAAATAAAGACAAGTTGTTTATAAAACTTAACAGAAGAATTTAGCTTTAGTCATTAGTAAAATCATTCAGTGTTATCATTATTTCATTTGGTATGTTTATACAATCTGCAATCATTTTAAATTATATTTGTCCCGGATCATAACAGAACTGCCTTTCTTCTCCAGAAAAATAAACAGATAGATGAACTGAAGGTGGCCATTGTGGAGTATTCCTCAGTTACAGAGGTGACCTCCAATTCTCTTTTTCTCTCTCCGTCTCTAATATCAGTAATCTGTAATTAATACCACAACGCTGTTTAATTCTACTTTTCTAAAACTGCTTGGCTATTAAAGGGGTCATATGATGTTGCTAAAAAGAACATTATTTTGTGTATTTGGTGTAATGAAATGTGTTTATGTGGTTTAAGGTTAAAAAAACACATTATTTTCCACATACTGTACATTATTGTTTCTCCTCTATGCCCCGCCTTTCTGAAACGTGTCGATTTTTACAAAGCTCATCGGTCTGAAAAGCGAGGTGTGCTCTGATTGGCCAGCTATCCGGTGCATTGTGATTGGCCGAATACCT